CATATCGTATTAACAGTAAATGGCATGTTTGGTATAATGATTTAAATTCTGTAGGGTACACTACTGTTGCAGTCATAAACGGCTTTTCTGTCCCACATTGTTTCGAAAACAGCCTGAAACCTCACTTTTTCCTGCAGATATAAACCTAAACCCCCTCCTTGTGCTTGATTTCGAGCAGGTCTTTCTTCTTGATTGCAAATAGATTTCAGACAATCTGAAAATAGAACAGATTACAAACACATTGGCATATTTAAAGAACATTAATATATTTACTAAGATCTAGAAAAGCTTAGAATACGTTACATATGAGGGATAATACAATTAGAATCTACAATAGAGATTAACAGCAAATGGCCCTAGCAGCCGATGCTGTAGATTGGGGGTGTTTTAGTGGGTAAACCTGGATTGCACCACCCTCCGGGGAGTCCCACACTCCCCTGCACTCACCGCGCGGGGCGTCCATAATGGATTTCACCTCCAACTCCCTCAAAAAAAAAGACAAAAAAAATAAAAATAATAATAATAATAAAGTACTTCATTTTTAATAACTAAATAGTTACAGTAACAATGATTAAAATAAAAGATACTTTCTTTTTCTCGGACGTTTTTCCTATTAGTTCACATTGTTGGTTCTTCCCTAGCTACCGCAGTACAAGCGTTTCCTTTTTTTTTTTCTTGTTATTTTTAGGGTTTCTGTATTATATTCTATTTTCATAGTTTTTTGTTATTTTTTCAATCGTCATTTAAAAATGCCTCTCAAATATTTTTTGTTTGTTGTTAAGAAGCATTGTTCAGGATTTGCATGTTCTCCCTTCTGTCATTGGTGAAATGTTATCGGTTTTTTAATCGGCAGGAAAAAATACCTTTGTAAATGATTGTTGCACCGAAAAAATAAATGTTGCACAAAAATGCGAGGTTCAGTTCGACACATGCTGTAATGCCATTAAACAAAATATTCCTTTTAGAAAGGTGCTGAATAACAAAATGGCAAAGTTTGTCCAGTTCCGCACCACAAATGTCTGAGGCTATAGCAAATAGATAATACTATTACACCAAAGATATACAAATTGTCGATAATTACTTAAATAAGTACGTAAATATGAGAAGCTTCAATTTTTAAAATGTACTGAAATTTATTACACTCGGAACTTAAAGTACGAGTAACATTTTTTGCTCTCACTGTAATCCGAAATATTTTTAAAAGATAACCAGCTGTCAAAAAGTGCTGCACTTGTATCTTCATCATGATCCCAGCTATTTTTCGCAGACTACTGTAGTTTGGAATAAATCATGATTGGGAGCAGGGTGAGGTGTAATTAACCTTAAATTGAAGTTATGAATGTAGGTATAGAACTTTAAGTTGCAATAAAATAACGATGGATTATTCGATTGACATGAATTTTATTTATCCGAAAGATAATCTTGTGGTATTACATTTTAAATATGATTTCTGGCATATGACCGCCACGGCTGGCGCGGATGTAGTCCAATCTGGACGTCCAATTTTCGAAGACTTTTTTCAACATTTGTGGCCGTATATGGACAATAACACGGCGAATGTTGTCTTCCAATTGGTCAAGCATTTGTGGCTTATCCGCATAGACCAATGACTTTACATAGCCCCACAGAAAGTAGTCTAGCGGTGTTAAATCATAAGATCTTGGAGGCCAATTCACAGTTCCAAAACGTGAAATTAGGAGGTCACCAAACGTGTCTTTCAATAAATCGATTGTGGCACGAGCTGTGTGACATGTTGCGCCTTCTTGTTGAAACCACATCTCCTGGACATCATGGTTATTCAATTCAGGAATGAAAGAGTTAGTAATCATAGCTCTATACCGATCACCATTGACTGTAACGTTCTGGCCATCATCGTTTTTGAAGAAGTACGGACCAATGATTCCACCAACCCATAAAGCGCACCAAACAGTCAGTTTTTCTGGATGTAACGGTGTTTCTACATACACTTAGGATTAGCTTCGCTCCAAATGCGGCAGTTTTGTTTGTTGACGTAGCCATTCAATCAGAAGTGCGCTTCATCGCTAAACAAAATTCGCTTATGAAAATCGGGAACAACGGCAATCTCGTTTTGGGCCCATTAGACGAATCTACGCCTTACTTGATGATCGTTTGGCTTCAATTCTTGCACGAGTTGGATTTTGTAAGCACGTAAACCAAGATCCTTCCGCAAAATCTTCCATAAAGTGGATGGACACAGATCCAATTCCTGTGCTCCATGGCGGATGGACTCATTCGGGTCTTCCTCAATGCTACGCTCTACATCAGCAATAGCTTCTTCTGTACGCACTGTACGGTGTCTCTGGGGATGCGAGTTATCAATAAGAGTAAACGTGGTGCAAAAACGTTCCATGGTTAATCGAATTAACTGCTCTGTTGGACGATTTTGTCGACGATAAAATGGACGTAGTACGCGATACGTATTCCGCACAGAACCATTATTTTCGAAATAAAATTGCTTTATTTGCAAGCGTTGTTCAGGCGTGGTTCTGTCTATTCATGATGAATTGCCAAACCAAACTGAGAATAAATCACTTGAGAGCTGTTAAATCGGTCGCCATCTTGAACAGTAATGCCAACTTAAAGTTCTATACATCGAAAACACCCATTATTACAAGTAAGATTTTAATTCGCATTATTAAGCGGCGATTAGTGACATATCTAGGTAGAGATCCCCCCCCCCCCAACAAAACATACAGATTTTGAGAAGGGCAAACGCACCAGAGAGCAGATTCTTATTGGAAGGGAAAATGTTAGATGTTCTAAACCGAGAACAATAAATGTGGTCTTATGATAAATGCTAAAAAACCAAAATTATCATAATCGACCGTTAAAACACCAACAATCGACAGATGCCCTCTGCAAAGATTTCAAATTGTTCACCATTTCATGTACCTGGTCTCGCATATTATTAACACAGGTTCAAATGAGAGTGACATCCGAAAGTGAATTTCTAAAAGTGCAACGATTCGACTACCCAGATCTATTACGATAAACACTAAAGCGAAACTAGTTCAATATTTAATTTTCTCCATCATCCGATATGGGGCTGAAACATGAATGATTAAAGCAGCAGACACTGGAGTCGCATGCTTCGACTTCCACGAACGGCTCACAGTCTGAGCAAGACTGTGAGTAAGAGAACTGAACATCCGTAATAGACCACCACCTCTTCCACCTTCGCGAGAAGAGACGACAACAATATGGAGGTGCTGATAGTTTTTGGAAACACAAAAAGACGAAAGTCTAGAGGCCGCTCACCAACTCGATGGACTGATCAGATCCAAAAGGCCACCAGCACTTCCTTCTACAATCCTGTAGATATAGTCTAGGATCGAAGTCAATGGAGGGAGATAACGGTACAAGTTGTTAGTGATCACGATACCCAGTAATGAGACAACGACCAGAGAGAGAGGTGCGGACAGAGCAATTTTAGAGCGTATGCCGCTCGTATGTTCCAATTAATATGTTCTCTTATAAGACCAAGACCAATTCTCGTTTTCTAGAATTACCAACATGTTTTATATTTTATATTATGCGCCAGTTTTACCAATCGTCCTGTTGGCTTCTTCAGAGCTTAACTGAAACTGGTTTGCATTCTACTCCGTGCCTGCTTATTATACTATCTGAGGGGGCCGAAGTTAACCAAGGGAAATGAATATTGCCTCATATAACTGATTCCTATATTGGTAAAAAATAAAGACCTGAGTCGCGGATAAAATTTTTCTTTGGCATGCAAGAATTTTGAACTGCTCATGAGTTTAGTTGTCTTAGTTTTAAGGCGCTTTCATGTTCTTTTAGCTCATATGTTTCGTCCGGTCTCCAATATATGTTTTGCCGCTTTGGAATTTTGCCTTTTATGGAAAGAAAATGTTGACAGATTATTGGGCAGGTGATAGATCTGGTTTTAAAAATTTATTTCTCAAGAACTTCTGATATGCGGTCAGTCATTCTGAGGAAGGACCACAGTGGGAAGTGTGGGATTGCTTTCGATTTCATTTTCTTTAAGAGGCTGTGGTGAAGTCTATTCTGAAATGCAACGCATGATATTTCTAATGTGGAAATTATTTGAGACAAGGTCAGATATTGTGTGTCTTAGGTGGATTCCATTCGAGATAGTTTTACGGTTCTGTAAACAAAAGAGTTGTGATCATAACCGATGATTTTTGGGGCGAATAGTAATGTGACAATGCATTAAGTTGTCGGTCCGTGTGAATAGGTTTTCTGAAAACTAACCCAATGTTAGTTCTGATTTTCTATTAATAATAATATCCAAGAATGGGAGATTATTATTAGCTTCTAATTCGATGCTAAAGAGTATGTTAGCCTTTAAATGGTGAAGAAAATCACAGAAAGATTCTTGACTATGAGACAAATTTACAAAAGTATCATCAACCTTAGAGTTTCCATAGTTTTGGTTTTAGATGAAAAAGGTCGAGAGCTTTCGTCTCAAAAGCTTCCATACATATATTTTCTATTACTGGTGATAATAGAGAAGCCATAGCTTTATCCGATATTTGTTCATAAATTTGACAGTTACAAAAAATATATTTTGCAAAGAAGTATTTTTCGATTAAGATGAGAATATTTGATTCCAGATACTCTACGTCGAAACTAACCAGACCATTCTTTTTCGATTAATGACCAACAGACGCAGAAGGAATGCGGAGACCTTGTCAATAGTGATGGAACTTTTTTTGAAAAATCGATATTACTTTTGTTTCTTTCAAAGACGATAACTGATTTTGCAGAACTAAATTGTTTTAATATTATTCGATTTCATTTTTTATTAATATTAAAATATTCAACTATTGATTTGCATAATTACATACTTGTCCGCAGCAAAATACATTAAGTCAACCTCTCGTACACTCAGTATGCGATGTGTCACAGGAAATCTCACGCGGTCCGCGCGATGTCAATATATACATTCGAAACGTTTAAACAAATAATGGAAATAGCACTTAAAGGAAGGTTGCGAGCTAAACGTACAGATATTGATACAACAGACGCGAAATTTATGACACATTATAAACATCTTATCTCACATAAGATAGGAATTTTACAATACAATACACGGAGATATTATTTTAGTTGTGCCACGCCGGTCCGTCCACACGCGAGCTATGCATTTTTCCGCGATTTACAGTGTCGCGTGTGCACTAGTGTTGGTTTGGTGCGTGGAAAATATCACCAGCGGCGAGGTTAAGTGCGACACTTACGTAGACATCACCGACGGCGTCAAATCAGGCCCGAATATTACTAAAGACGGCTTGATTTACACGGAAAACGATTACTTCGTCGATAATAACGTTATTAAAGGATGCATTTGTCGCGTTTCTTCTTGCGTGCGAAAGTGTTGTGCCGCAAACGAATCCATAGCGTCGAACACCAACTCCACCTGCGTTGACGTCTCGTTGACGCCAAACGCGAGTAGCGACTTGGACAACGTTTTCCCGGACGTAGCTCTGTTTCACATTATATCGGCGCCAGCGAGAGACATCTGCGTCGAAACTTCCTACAAAATTCTTCTGGATTACGAGGAGTCCAGTTTGGTGATTAATCACTCGGGATACCTGCAATGGGATGAACTTTTCTATCCGTACACTGAGTACTGCCTAGCCAACCTCGAACATCGCCTGGTCGCGTTGATCTGTGTCGTGCAAGATGTTTCTATGAACGCGTTAATATATTGTATCGGTGAGTACCTAGCATCAAAAGAATAATATTCAGTTTGTCCAGAAATTAGTGCGCCAAACTATAACAGCCCATTCTACGTCCAAAATAAATCCTAGTTTTTGTAACGGAGCCACGTGCCTTAAAAAGAATGAACCTGAAAATGGTGGATCGTTCGGTTGATCTCAGGAACAAGAAAGGCCTACAAGAAATTATCATTATGACAGACGCTAAACAGAATGGCCGAAACTCGTCAAATATCACTTCTATTTCTGATATGATGTTTCTTTCTATCGACATTTTTCTATAAATTATTATGAAAAGAAAAAATTTCGCCGTTATTTTCCAGTTTCGTGACGCAGGAATATGAATTTTCAGCTAAGTAAGCTAAAACCTCGTCATTATCTAGAAGTACAGAATTTAAAACCCCAAGATTTTTGCCAATGGAATCTGAACAATTAAGATATTTTGGAAATACGAACTTTCTATACAGGTTTTTTATAAATATTTGACAAATATCATAAGTACTACCTGAATAGGTGCCTTTATTTTACCAAATATATTAAATACTTACTTAAATTTCCTAACAAATGAACTGGTCGTAACAACTCACTTTGAGTAGGGTGTAAGAAACTGGTTAGGTGAAAATTTGGCAATAGTAGAGGTGGTCCAGTAAATTGATCAGTTCGGCCGCCTGACTTAAAATTACAAGATTATCTACGGGGTAATGTGTAATTCTATTTATGCCACAGAAGTAGAGAGCTTCCAAATTATTCATTCTCAAAATGTTAAAATAAAATCGCGACTATGGAGTCAAACTAACTGGAATGTGTTTAAAAATATAAATACTATTCGCAAATCTTCTGGATTCCTCCTGTCCCTGTTGTTGATGAATGGAACTTGCCGACGTTCCGCCAATCATGATGTTGGCTTCTTCAGAACTTAACTGAAACTGGCTCGCATCCTACTCAGTACCTACTTATATATTATTTGATGCGGAGCTAAAGGGGGAACATGAACATGACGGATGACTGATTCCCATACTGGTGAAAGGTAAAGACCTCGTCAAGAGTCACGGTTAAGGTTTTTTGGTTGCTTATAGATTTCTATAGATTCTCGGATTTTTGGTTGGTAGAAGAATTGATGCATGGATGCATTCATTGATTTCTTTCCAAGTTTTCCACAATATCTTCTTACTCATACGTGGAATAAAACCATCCTGTTCATTTCAGTCATTATTTTGTCGATGGTCGGTATAAATTCTTCTCAACTATTTTCGCAACTCGAAATATTGATTTTTGATGAATGAAATATTGATCCGTGTTTGTACAACAAATTCAAACACACGTCAGTTTCAAGAACGAACTTCAAGAAGTAACTGTAATTCGAATTTTAAACATGGTAAAGTAGGTATACTACTTGTGTAGTTACCTGCCACTCTCGGGGCCCTTGATAATCATCATAGGTACAATACTACTTCTACGTCTATCTATACAGCTAATATCACTATGTTTTACGGTTCAATAATTATTTATAACTCTCTGGCATTAATAATACTTTTGACAGGAACACAGATGTGACGAACATTGAATAAAAAACTCTGTAAATACTGTGTACCTAATGGAAACGTCAACTGTCAAATTTTTCCGAGTTTGTCCAAAACTTTTACCTCTGTTTTCTTAGTCCGAGCTCTCATATCGTCCTCCTTATTGCTGGGAAACCCTCAAAGAGGTTCAACGGCCAATGTATAGACTATTTCACGGTGAGATTATTACTTTGCCCATACTGCACTACACCACACCAGAATAGCAAAACATGCTTGGAAATAGAAATATCCAGGCTCACCTGAATGGTAAAACCAGTCCCATTTATAGGATCAACGACGCGTCCAGTAGGGCTCCGTGCCTGCTCCTGTTCTTTTTAACATTTACAACTCGAGTTCCAGGTCTCAAAAAAATTTATTTACGCACACGACATAGCTCTTTCTTGGCAAACGTCTGATTTTATCACAGGCTCCATTTGAGTAGGTTAGATGAATTCTTCCGCAAATGAATGATGCTAGAGTCATGAAAACAACCGCAATGGTTCTCACATATTTCGTTACGGCAGACAGTTGCCCTGCCTGTAGAAACAGTGACCACACCGCCTTACTGACGCTCGCCTTAATAGTGCGATGAGAACTATAACGGGCAATTCAGAAGTACTCCAGTTCAATGGCTACGAAATAGCTATCAAATATCAATCCCAATCACTTGAAGAGAAAGTCTACCCAGGTCAGACGACCTGGTTTAGAAATTAGAATCAAACGTCTTAAGTCCAGATAACTCCCATGGTTATTGGATCAACAACTAATAGTTGCTAATGTCAACTCTCGGGATTTCTGGCAAGATATCCCAGACACACATCAGCTGACCTTGACGGCCCTAACTATGAGTATGGACACTGCACATACTCCCTTTCATATTACAGCAGAATGCCCACTAAGACAGAGCTCCCATCCACGAAGCTGACCGAGCTATAAAATTTACTGTTGCTGTTTTTTTTTCACTATCATTTAGTCTGTGTTTTATATACAGTGTGTCCAAGATGAGGAAGGATATCTATCATGGGGATATTGGAAACCATAAGAGAGAGAAAGATGGTTAAATTATTATTATCGTTTTTATTTTTTTCTAATGTTATTCAAAGATATATAAAAAATAAAAGATGACTTACTCGTTGCTATCTTTTAAACTCTACAACTTTTGTTTCGGTGAAATCATCATCGAGATTATTTTTTCATATGGTCCGTGAAAAAGACACACCATATATTAAATATATGTATTACGAATACAACGATGCACTACACAATATGATTCAATATCGTTTAAATCACAAAAATGAGTTTTTATTAAAATTTCAATGTTTTGGTGTAGTGGGCGCTGACATGATGGCGTTGAGAAAATGTCAAGATAATTTTGTTAACATATCGGTATATGCCGTTTTTTAATATTGTTGTTGCGTTGTTTTGCCGTTGATTTTTTTTTTGTTATACAAAATGGAATACACAGAATGAAAAATTGCATGCTATGGTAACGTCGTTGAATTTAAATAACTACTCTGCGAGAAGACAATCCAGTACAAACAAACAAAAGATTCATTGCAAATCTTAAGCCGTATGGTGCGTTTATGAAACTAGTTTTATCTAAAAATAAACGCTGGAATTAAGAAACAGTAAATAATGTATTGTTAGTCGTTACTGAAAAGCCGGAAACATCCGTTAGAAAAATAGAACCGACAACTGAAATCACTAAATCTACTGCTCAATTTATTTTGTGAAAACAAAAATTTCACTCGTTCAATTTTAGAATTTGTCAAGCGCTCAGGCCTGGTGATGAAGAAAGGCGAAGAAAATTTTACGAATGGTATACTAGCGAGTGCCAGAGAGATTAAAACTTTCCCCATAAGATAATTTGTTCGAACAAAAGTACAGTAACAAATAAGGGAATTTTTAACCGACAAAAGGCTCATTATTGGGCAAGAGAGTGCACCGAATATACAGAAATCAACACATTTATTTGGCCCTTTTTATAATGGTTCTCTTAACGCTGAGTGATACCGCAACATCCTAGAGCACGACACTGAAGAAGCTCTGAACAACTCACCGCTTGCAAAAGTTGAAAGCTCTTGGTATCAACAGTCACACATGCCTTAATCGAGCGCGAGTATTTATCGGACAGATTTCTCGAAAAATGGATAAGTACCAGTTAAAGAGTTTGGTGGCCCCCTCGTTCGTCGGACTTCACTCCACTCGATTTTCTAATTTATTTATTTATTATGGGGATATTACAAAAATTGTGTTTACCAGTGAGTTTTTGAGAATAAGGATTAGCTGAGAAGACTAGTTCTTGAATCCTTTCAATACGTTACAACTGATATGTTAAGAAAGGTTTTAAATTCACAGTTACAAGATGTTATTTCTATGAAAATAATGGGTACTTGTTTGAATATTCTTTATAATTTAATTTTGTTTTTGTAGCAAATCTTTTTAAGTTTTTTTTTGTTTAATAAATGAATCATTTCATCTTTCTTTTTTGTTATTTGTCAATCCAAACTACACCGAGACATTGAAAATTTAACAAAAACATTTTTTTATGATTCAAACAATGTAAAATCATATTATGTCATACATTTTGTATTCGTAATAAAAAAACGCTATTTTGTAGAGCCCAAAAGTGATACTAGAAAAAAAGAAAAACGAAATAGACAAATTTCGTTTTTTCAGGGTATCTTGGCAAGTGATGGGAATTTTTTATTTTACTCAACAACACCTATAAATTTTGTCATTTTTTAAAATTTAACCATCTTACAATATCCCAATGAGAGACATCTTTATCTTAGTCACACTGTATATCGGCTGATCTAAATTAAGTATTCATCATTAGTAAGGTTGTTATGAGTAGAGATAAAAAGTCAATTAAATTAGCAAACACTGATTATGATGATGAAAAGAGAAGGAGTTTAGGAAGAATAAATAGTCTTTTTAAATAGGACACCTAATATATTTTTTAGTCTAAAATTCGTAAATCACAAACAGAACAAAAAAGGTCGTAAGTAATATTAGAATAAAATTGAAAATAATCGAATTATTACCATTCATTTAGACTAGACGTTTGCTGTTATTGTTTTATTTTTCGTCTCCTTTTTTTAGTAAAAACGGTTTCATTATTTCTAAACATTCGATAAAGGCGCAGAAAATATTGTTCAAAGAAGGCTGTGCAAAATAACGACAGCCCTGCCAAATATAAAACTAGTTATCAAAAACTCAGTTTTAATTTATTAATTATTAGTATTGTTATATCAATTATTTAAATTAATTTTACTGTACGGTACTGTACTGTACTGTTACTCTAAAATGGATTTTACATATAAAGAAAAGTACGATATGTTTCAATGTTATTTGCGTTTTTGCAAAAGGAAGGTGACGGAAAAATGTTATTATAAGTGAAGACGTGGAAATAAGTGTTCTTGGATATTTTGAAGCA